ATTGACAAAAAGACTCCAATCCTCTTAAAGGATGTCTTTTATTGTAGCACTAAGTGGATGAATGGAATGTTCATACAGGGTCACCTCGTTGTTCATCTGGTTTCTCATCATTCCTGAAGAGAGAGGTTTTTCCAGCGTTGATGAAAAAGTGAAGGAAGCGAAATGAGGAAATAAAATTACCTGTTTCTTCACCTTGCACACTTAACAGCCACTTGAGATCAGTCTGCTGTCTTTTATTGTGGCAATATACATTGCTGCATCCTCCACCACAGGAACTGCTTGGTTTCTTTCACCTGATTGGTAGAAATAGTTAATAACTTTATTTTCATATTCATATTTCAACATTCTTTCCAGATGGTTTTATGCTATTCAAGCTATAGTATCACACAATTGATGTTTAAGCATGAAGAGGTTCCTGTTTTCCCATGGAGTCAATGATTTTAGGCTGCTTGGGAAAACTAGTTTGTTCTGATTTGTTATTCAGAGTTTAGGTGTTCAAATTTTGCTTAGTTAGCACCATATTGATTCTGGCTGCTAACTGACCTATGATTATAGGCTTATGTTCTAACATTTGAATGTAGAGGGAAAACGGGGAATTACTTTTTCTGTATTAATTTTCTTGTTTGCCCTAATGGCCAGGAAGCCATGAAACTTTGAGATAAGCTGTGTCAATGTGATTTCAGGGGCAAAATGTTGGCTTCAAAGCATTCAGCATATTTCTGAGCACGAGATGCAACTTTGAAACATGACTGAACTACTGAAGTCTTTCATCTAGAATCTGCGTTCATCACTAATACTCTCAGAAACCAAGCTACATGCTAAAAACAATAAAGGCTTTAATTTCAGCATAGCAGGAACACTACACTGGCATCAACTTACTCAGTGGTAAATTGTACATCGAGCACCTGAAAGAAAGAAAATAATTTGAAGTATGCTTTTGTGGTTTACTGCAGTTGTAAAATGACAAATTTAACAAAGTAGAGCATGGGCAGAGAATAACCTCTGCACACAATTGAAGAGCTGCCATTAATGTGCCGGAGTATCCGTAAAAATAACGTATTGCTTTAAGCAGTGTCTTTGGTAGTCTAAGTGGAAATAAAAAATAGACAGCAATCCTGAAGAACAAGATGAATTTGGCATTTTGCACAAAAATGCAGAATTGTTGTTGTTATGTTGTATGCCAAAGGCCATCAATTGGTCTGTGTGGGACTGCCAATAACTAACTTATGCATGTATAGTTGAGACTAGCTCACCATCTTCCAGTTCGAGAAGTCAACTAATTGATCAGAAATGGTAGGAGGTTACATATATAAGAAAACTTACATGAAAGCAAAATGTCAGTAAAGAATGCTACAGAGCTTTTAAAGTTCTTTTTGCTTGTCAGTCCATACCATTTCTAGTCACAGTCCATCATACCACAACTGTATCATGCCACGCCATGCTAACACTGCTAAGGGAGTTACACTGCATAAAGATGATCTGATCTACAGTAAGATGAACAAAGATGTGTAATAATGATCCAAGATACTAAAGATGAAAATTAGGCAAAGATTAGGAAAATTGTTTAAAATGTGCAAGCTTCACTTAGTTATCAGCTGAGTAACTGAAGAACTAGTCTTCCTTGCCAGTCAATATATTTTACAGATTCATATATCAAGAAATTATAGGATTATGTTTAAAAAAATGGATTGGAAGAGATGTGAAAAGGTCATCTACACAATTCCTCTGGTGGGACCAGCCAGGCTTGTGGCATTTTAGAAGTGGAGATTGCACATCCTCCTCAGCAGTGTGTTCACGCTTACTGGTAGGTTGCTCCTGATAACAGTCCCACACATGTTTTCCTGCAAGTCAAGTTCACCCAGGTGTTCTAATTGCTTCTGCTGTAGTAATATATTCCAACACACTGCATTATAATAAAACTGAGCAATTATCAGTAGGACACACATCAAATTTTTAATTATGTTCTCTTTTAACACAGTTGAGTATTTTGCTGGTAGGAACACTGATGTAAGTAGAAAGTGAGGAGAGTGACAGTTTCCTTTAAATTAACATGTGTTTTTTTAAATTGAGGTGAACTGAAAAATAGATCAGGGAAAAAAATGTAGAGCTTAATGGTTTCTGCTGCTATGGTGATGCTTAGGATAATTGCAGTACTCTAATTGCATTCTTTTGAAGTAATCAAGCAGAAGTAAAGTTTTCTAAAATAATTGTTGTTGGCAATAGTCATATCTTCCCTAAAAACAGTAGCTTCAATTTCTACTTATCCAGCTGGAGTCACATGAAATCAAGCTAGACAGAATCTATCTAATATACTTTTTGACAGCCACTCTACAAAATTTTGTGTAGAGTGAGGACTGAAAAGCTTAATGGATCACACTAGTTTGACAACTACTGATTTTTATCATGCAAAATGTTTTTTTATATAATGCCCAAATATTTTATTTGTGATTTTTTTTTTTCTAAACCCAATATAAATGCATCAGCAAGAATCAATTATTTACATGCTCATTTTGGTGTTACAACCTAATTTTATATTAACTAAAGTATTTAAACATTTATATATATTAATAATTTCTATTTAGAAATGTGACATTTTGATATACAGTACTATATAAACACTTCACCATTGTACTGAATACTATAAATATGATGGTAAAGGTTCAATTTAGCAAAGCATTGTAAGGATGAGCTTAAATCTTTGATTTCAGTGGAAGCTAAGCTTAATTGTACTCTGAATCTTACTACACTTGTAATTTCATTAATACCCATTTTGCAGTGAGGAAAATAAACCTACCATTTAACTTCACTGATGGAGTTTGTTAAAAGTAAATAGTTTTGATCCTATATCTTTTTACCATTACTATGCTACTTCCCTAGAAGGAAAGAAAAAGCTGTTGAAAGAAAAAAAATACACTACATCCTAACTGTAAAACACTAGGTATCCACTCTGAATGCCTGGTAACTGCCAAAGTAATGGAACAGACAGTACCTTTCTCTTTCCAGTACTAAAAGAGCAGAACAGGAAAACGAAGGCTTTAGGCTGACAGGGGAATGGGAGAGACAACTTTTGTGCATTTCTCTGCTCCAAGCTTCCTATTTGGCCTCAGTAAATCAGTAATTTTCCAGTTGTAAAATAAGGATGGGGAGTTAGATTTATCCTTGAGGTATTGTGAAAAGATATATTATGTATTAAATGCTGAAGAATGAGGACACCAGTGATCTGAAAGGTTTCAAAAACATGGTCAGTATGATGCCTTCTAGAAACTTAATACTGGTTGATAATTTAACCTAACTGAAAACGTTCTTGAAAATCTTTATTGGTTAGATGTTTAAGAGCAGGAATATTTTAAAACTTGAAAGATCAGTAGTTAGATTTTCATTGTAACTTAAGCCACTGAAGAACAGTAAATGACTTTATGTCACCAATACAGTGTTAGCAGAATGGCCCAAAACACTGACCCAGATCAAGCTTTTTAGCAGACTAAATATTTAAATTGCCCAAACTGAAAATAATACTTTCTGAAACACAGTCCTTTATATTTGCCTCAAATTGGTGATCCAAAACCAGCTAGTTCAAGTCATTAGCCCATCTTGAAAATCTTGGTCTTCAGTTTAGAATGGATTGCCATATTTTGATGAATCCATTGCATTCCAAGAGCTTTTCATAAACTGTCCTTCACAAGTATGGCCCATGACTGTTAATATAAGCAATTTCAACAGCATAAGTAATAAGGATAGGTTTCAGCTTAGATGGAAATTCTGGTAAAGATCTGAAAAATGAGTACAGAAAAGAAGAGCTGGCTCAGTGCTAACTTTGTGCAGTTATATCAATACTGTAATACAGAACCTCAAGCTGAGGCAGCACCCTGATCACCCCTGCTAACTGCTTCTGCAGTGCATTGTGTTAATTCGTCCTTTACAGAAAAGGATTTAAAAATAGAAATGAGGTGCAGTGGTTACCTTGGGGTTGGCTTTTGGAAAGGGAGGATGTTACAGGCATTAGAGAAAAATCTTATCCTTTCCTTCCAAATGCATTGGGTGAGAGATCTTGCATTAGCTATGCAAACTGTATTATAGTGTTGCACTCATAAAACTCTCACTTCTGGCAAGTGTAAAAGCCCAAAAGTAGGACCAGACCAACATACTTGATGCAGAATGCACTAGACTGCCTTCTGGCTGTGGGATCCCAGAAGTGAAGTTGTACAAATAATTCTGTGGTTCGTTTATTGTGGTTCAGTGACTGATCAAATAGAATCATCAGGTAGACTCAAAATACTGCTTTGTGTTTGTTTTTTTTTTTTTTGTCCTAGACAAAACTAGTAACTTAAAAAAAAAAAAAAAAGCAGCTAAATCTGCATTTCATTTGCACTTATTTTTCAGTTTTGAAAGTCATGTTTCTCTAATGAATGTCTAAAATAAACAGGGTTTTTTTTCTGTTTACAAAATGTTAAAAAATATTCCAATACTTCAGGAATTTTTTTCTCTCTCGTTGTTTTTCAGAAATTTCTCCTCAATTTGTCTTAATTTTATTCTAAAAGTTTGAATAACTTGGAGGGGGAAATATTTCTCTGTAAAGGAGCTTTTATTAATAAATCATCAGTCTTAAAGTTCTGCCTAGCTCTGTTCAGTGGTCTATTTAAAATGCTTGTGCATGCTCAGTCCAGTCTTTAGTGTTATAACCAGCTTAACATCACTGTTAAGCAAAAAATCTCTGTCAAAACTGGTTCCATCATTGGTGGTCTTGCTGTGCAGCTCAAAGACTGAATGGACTGTGGGGCTAATTAGGCATCTGGAATGGATTCAGTTCTCATCTGTAAGGCTTGGCTCACTAGAAGGAGACTGGGGAAGATAAGGGTGCTAAAAAGCTTTTTCTTTTGTCACATAAGCCTACTGTGTTATTTTTCATTTCATTAAAACACAGAATTGTATTGCATGGCACCCTGATTATTTTAATTGTCATAATTGTCGTATGCCAGGAAAACACTATACAAGTGCAAGTACACTGCTCCAGTAATAAGGACAGAAAAAAAAGAGAGAAGCCCTGCATGACCATCACCAAGCCGCTGGGTGGGGACAAGAGCGGAGGCAGCAGTGTGGTGAAAATCCACAAAATGCCCAGGTACTATCCCACTGAGGATGTTCCTCACAAGCTTTTGAGTCATGGCAAGAAGCCCTTCAGCCAGCACAAGAGGCGGCTGAGGGCCTTCATCACTCCATGGACTGTTCTGATCCTGCCAACCGGTCATCACAGAGGCAAGCTTGTCATCTTTTTGAAGCAGCATGATACAGGCCTGCAGCTTGTTACAGGACCCTTGGCTGTCAATCGTGTCCCCCTGCATAGGACCCATCAGAAATGTGTTATTGCTACATCTACAAAGATAGACATCTCTGGAGTGAAAATTCCTAAGCATCTCACTGATGCATACTTCTAAAAGAAGAGTCTGAGGAAGCTCAAGTACCAGGAAGGCAAGATCTTTGACACTGAGAACGAAAAACACAAGATAACAGAGCAGCGCAAGTTGGACCAGAAGGAGTTGGATTCCCTGATCCTGGCGCAAATCAAAAAGTTGCCTCAGCTCCTTGAGTACCTGCATTCTACATTCTGTGTCTCCAATGGAATCTATCCTCAGAATTGATGTTCTAACTGCCCTGAAAGCACCACATTAAATTTGACAGAAAAAACAGGGTTTTTTTTTGTGGGGTTTTTCTTTAAATTACACCTGGGTCAGAGCAACCCCAGGCACAGCTACAGGTTGGGTAGAGAAGAGATTCAGAGCAGCCCTGTGGAGAAAGACTTGAGGGTGTTTGTCAATGAGAAAATGAACATGAGCCAGAAGTGTATATTCACAGCCCAGAAAGCCAACCATATCCTGGGCTGCATCAAAAGGAGCGTGACCAGCAGGTTGAAGGACGTGATCCTGCCCCTCTACTCTGCCCTTGTAAGACCTCACCTGGAGTATTGTGTGCAGTTCTGCTGTCCTCAACATAAAAAGGACATGGAAATGTTGGAAAAAGTCCAGAGGAGGGCCACGAGGATGATGAGGGGACTGGAGCACCTCCCATATGAAGATAGGCTGAGAAAGTTGGGCTGTTCAACCTGGAGAAGAGAAGGCTGTGTGGAGACCTCATAGCAGCCTTCTAGTATCTGAAGGGGGCCTATGCGGATGCTGGGGAAGGACTCTTCATTAGGGACTGTAGTGATAGGACAAGGGGTAATGGGTTAAAACTGAAACAGGAGAAGTTTAGATTGGATATAAGGAGGAAGTGCTTTACTGTGAGGGCAGTGAGGCACTGGAATGGGTTGCTCAGGGTAGTTGTGAATGCTCCATCCCTGGCAGTGTTAAAGGCCAGGTTGGACAGAGCCTTGGATGACATGGTTTAGTGTGAGGTGTCCCTGCCCATAGCAAGGGGGGCGGAACTAGATGATCTTAAGGTCCTTTCCAACTCTATTCTGTGATTCTACGAGTCTACAATTCTATAACGAATCTATTACGATATAATCCATAATTTCAAAGACTAAAGTCAAAACTCTGAGAACTATGGAAATCATTATACTGATTTGCAATTTTTCCAGTCAGAAATGTTTCTCTGAAGGTAACTAAAAGCTTAATATAATTTAAAATAATAATAAAAATATTTAAAAAAAACCCGAACTTCAGTACCTTTTTTGGTTTTGTTTGTTTGTGTGTGTGTGTGTGTCATTTTTGAGAATTCTATCCATGGGCACCTTTAACTTAGAGTTAGGTTTCTAAAATTAAGTTTCTACTTTTGTCCAGACTTATGATCCTCTCCTGTGTGCTTAATTTTATTAAAGATGCCTGTTATTATAATGATTAGTTTATTAAAACACTTCATCTCTGCTTACACATTCACTTCTGCTGCTTGAACTGATACACTCCAGTAATTGCATGTCGCTCTTCTGTGTCTCTCTTCAGAAACAGAAATGTATCTGATGGAGGAGATGGCAAAATTCATCACACTGGTTAGTGTGCTCAAGAGCCCCTGTTAGTCTGATACTGCTTGCAGTGTAAAATAAAGCAAGCATTTCCATAGTAGCCTGGGGGCAAGGATACTCTAAAGCCATAGATTCTTTGTTGAGAATTACTGAAAAAGCTTATCAGCTTCTTAAAGAAGGAAAGAAAAGAAGAAGCCTATGAGATTTACTCCTCACTTCTTGAGAGTCAACATAGCTTCCTGTAAATCAGAAGGTCTGATCCATAGTTTGTAGCTGCATTATAACAAACTTGAAATCTGTCTTTTGTTAAGAACTTAGGCCACTTGTGTCTTACACACTGGGAATATCTCTCTTTCATTTGCCTTTGTTATAGAAAGTACTTCTCCATGCCTTAAGAAGCAGGTTGTTGTTGCAGAAGCATATGAACTGTTTTTCTGGTAGTGGTCCCGATGATCTGATCCAAGCTATAGGCACTTTTTCAATACCTGGTTTTGATTTATGCAATAACATTTAAATTTTATATGCACACATACACATGTATATGTACATTGAATATGAGTCATTGATTAGTCCTCTAAAATTCACATTCAGCATCCAGGCTTCTCAATCATAAAGAATGCTGCAAGATGTATTGAAACAGATACATATAAAGCTTTCAAAGGTGTTTCTTTTGAAGCACTGTCTTACTTGAAATTAAAGATTTTTCTTATCAAAAGCAAAAGATTCTGAAGTAAATCTGATCATGTAGAAGTGTATAGAAGATATACAGTGTTAAATGTCTAATTCATTGCTGAAGCTGAATATATTAATTTCTAATTTATTTCCTCTGAAATAAGAACCTGATGAGGCAAGCAGTACAAACTGGACACACTGAGGAGCAGGACTGGGCTTTTTGTTTTTGATGGTGCTAGAAGTATATGCTTTCATTTCAACATGAATAGATAAAATATATTCTCCAGTGTCTCTTTTTTGAGAGGTCCCATAAAACATCTGTGGCTTAGTGCACTTACAAGGATATGACTGTAGTTTGAATATATTTTACACCACAAAAAGAAGGCAAGGCTTCTTGCACTTGAGGAATTGACCACACAGTTATAGGCTAGGCTTTCCTGTCAGATGGAGCAAAATATCATGGCTAGTACCAAATTTGTGTTATTACTTAACATACTAATACCAGCTCTTCAGTTTGTCTGACAAAGTGCCATACACATATAAATCATCTCTACTTAGCTTTTGTAGGACTCTACCTGGAGTACTACATTCAGCTTTGGAGCCCCCAACATATAAAGGATGTGGACTTATCAGAGCAAACCCAGAGATGGCCACAAAGAGGGCTGCAGAACCTCTGCTATGGAGACAGGCTGAGACAGCTGGGCTTGTTCAGCAGGGCAAAAGCTCCAGGAAGGACCTTAATGGTGAGACATTGGCACAAGCTGCTGAGAAGCTGTGGCTGCCCCATCCCTGGCACTGTTCAAGGCCACAATGGACAGGGCTTGGAGCAACCTGGTCTAGTGCAAGGGGTCCCTGCCAGTGGCAGGGGGGTTGGAACCAAGTCATCTTCAAGATCCCTTCCAACCCAGACCATCAGTTTTGTGATGCTTCTCAATTCTGCTCCAATATTTTTCAAATGAGGAAGTTCAGAAAGAGACTTTCTTTTCTATTTATGTTTAGTGACTGTCAGATTTAAAAGCTATCTAACTAAAAAAGTGAGAAGAATAAAGGAACAATTAAACCTTTATTTCAATTACCCTGTAGATGCAACAACTCTTAGCTAGTATTATTGTATTAACACCTTTCACATTATTCCATTTTATGTAACATGTTCCATCTGCTAGAGTAATGAAAAAGAGCCAGCTGTATATTGTTGTTGATAAGGATGCTTATAGTCATCTTATTAAACTGGTCTAATGGAGAATGCATAACAGAAAATTTTCCATCATAATTCCATCATTCCTTACTTACCTTTAACTTCAGTTTCTTTACTTTCTTTCCTGTAAGTAATGTGCAAACGTTGATCTTAAAGAGGGTTAGTGGTCGTTACTAAACTCTAAGTATTTCTTACACATAATGCATACTCAAGCAGGGCGGTTTTTTTTTCAAAACATTAATATTATGAGTTTGTAGCATTTTAGATCTGTGTTGCTCAGTTACAGTAGTAAACTGTAAGTCAGGACCCTAAAAGGTGGAATCCAGCTTGGTCATTTGATGTAGGTTACTTGTGGTTTTCATTGAATGAAGGAAACAGTTGCTTGCTCAAAAGAGTCAAAATCATTGCAGATGTGAAGAGTGAAAACTCTAGTGAAGTCCTTTGGCTTACTTACAACATAAAATAACATAGCCTCCAGTGCTTAGAAAATTTCTGATGTGCGTCTAAACAATTTTACAACCTACTTATGATAAAGAATATACAAACAATATGTTTTCTTTTGTTTTCCATTTGAATTATGCTGGAAAGTCTGACCAGGGCCATATGGCGTACGCACAGTTAGGCATCCTTCAGTTGACTTGAGAATGAACAACTGTTACTGTTATGGTCTATAAAACTAAACTATCATTCAGAATCTATAAAGGGGTAGATTATACCATTTCCTAAACCAGGATATTAAAATTATGCCAAACTGCACATCTCTGAAAATATTTCCTAAGGGTTTTGTCTCTCTGCAAAGGTACCTGTCTGAAGAGACAGAGAAGCATTTCTTCCTTTTATTGAGTGTTTAGCAAATGACATCACAAAAATTGAAATAAACATGTAAAGACAGTGAGCATCCAATATAAAGACCAGCTCTGGGCAAAAGGCTCCGAGGTCCAGGTGTCAAGAGAGCAACAAGTAGTACCAATAGTTTTTGCTCACACTCCACACTAGATTTTGTTTTATCACTCATAAGAACTATGTTTTATGCACTTCAGGCAATTATGTAAACACCAATATTTTTTCATTACTTTTTAAATATTTTCAGTTAATTTTACAATATAAGAACAGTGAAATGATCCCAGCACTTTAAGTTTATGATTAGTGAATATTTTGGAAATAGAAGAGCTGACCATCAAACAAATAGAATGTAGCTGAAAAATAATTAGTGTGCTTTGCCCTCAGGTGCACTGCTTTTAAATCTGATCAAGTTTACCCTGCTCTTGGCATTCTCCTGACATCAAATGGACATTTTGCAGTTACTTACCTAAGCTGTGTCATAGATATATGTGTCCCAGAAGAAGCTAACCATGTAAAAGCAGCTTCGCAAAACCAGCCAGCCATTTATAATGTGTCTCTATATACCTGCTGGCTTTTGCAATAAATTCCCATGGCAATTGCCACAGCTTTGAGAATGCTGCAGAGCCTTCTTCTGGTTTGGACAGTGAAGGAGTGGCTAACTCCTTTTGTCACTGATGTAAAATTAAAGCACACTTGCAACAAGCCTTAAAAATATATTTTAAAAGTGAGGGGTGCAAGGGGAGGTGAGGGTATGCTATGCCATTTGAATATATTTATTGCCCCTTTAAAAACTTTGGATTCAGGTCCCATTTAGTGTATCAGTGATGCTGGGCTGGTATACACAGATGCTGTGCATCTGACCTGTAATTGCTAATCATGTGAGCTTGATAAACAATCTTTTATATTCAGTTTTATAGGCGGAAAGTTGAAGAACTGGAAATTTTTTAAGGAAGCCTTGGGTATTGAATGAATCAGCCACAGATTAATGGTGCTGTCCTAAGAAGGCTGTA